TCACTGCTGTAATGGGCTTTGCTTGGCACATGACTGTGCGCCGCCCACATGAGAGGGCCTTCTCTGAAGTATTCTTATGAATGTCTCTCTCGTGTGTGTGTGTGTGTGTGCTGCGCCACGCTGCGCATGTTGGGCTGCTGCTATTCGGAGGTTGCCTGTGTGGTGCTTCTCTCCCCGCTGTGTGTGTGTACCGCTGCAGATCAGCCCCCTTGAATGCTGGAGCCCTTTTCTTTCGTTTCATTGCTGCCCCGCTGTGGGCGTAGCGCCGACCCACTTGCTCCTGACGACACGTACTGTGGGAAGGGGAGGCGTGCTTTTTTGTTTTCTTTTCTTTGCTTTGCTTTGCGGGTTGCTGTGCGCCGCTCACTAACTGTTTCTCCTTCTGGTGGATTCTCTTTTTATCTTTGTGTGTGCGTCCTTCGCTACGCCCACCTTGAGTGCGCCACTCACACCGGGACACACGTAAAGGGACGTGAGTGCCAGCAGTACAATTGCGTCCACGTGCGCTGCTGCTGCCTCGTTGTTCCCTCTTTGTTTTGGGGCCTTGTGGGTTTGGACTCCAGCGGAGTGTGTGCGCCTCTTCCGCCGGTCAGTTCTCTTTTCTCTAATTGGCTTTCTTTTCATCATGGTTGATGTCGCCTGTGTTGTGCCTGCTGCTCCCTTCCGCTCTGTGTGTGTGTGTGTGTGTGTGTTGGGGTTGCCTGCTGTGTATCGTTTCTCTTTTCTTCTCCCCGCAGACCACAGCTGCTCAAGCGATATTGAATGATGGCGACAGTGCGCCGCGCTGTGTGTGTGTTGGCCGCTGCTCTGTGCTGCACGGCCTTGTGCGTAGCTGCGAACTCTGATGATGATAATTCTGCTTCGTCTCCCACAGGTGGTGCGGCGGAGGCGTCTGATGTGTCGGCGAAGGAGATAGTCGTCACTGCAAAGACGGAGGCCGTGGAGGCAGCAAGGAAAGTTCAGGAGGCAGCAGTTTCTTTTAAGGATGCTCTGAGTGAAGTGCAGACGGCGCATGAGGCGGCCAAAAAGGCAGCAGAGGGCGCAGGGGGTATTCTGACGGGAGGCGCCAAGACGGCAGCGGATCATGTGGTGCAGGCTTCGCAGAAAATGTCAGGTGCTGTTACTGTGCTGAAGGATTTTGTATCTTCTGGCTGCAAAGTGGTATCCGTTAAGTTGTCGACAGAGAAGAACAATGCTAAAGATGCATTGGATCTCGCTAAATCAGCTGTAACGGGTGCTAAAACGGCAGTGTCGGACACTGAAGGCCTGCTGGAGAAGGCGAAGACCGAGGAGCAGAAAGTAGTGAAAGCCATGGAGAAGGCTACACAAGCAGCAGCGATTATACCAAAAGAAGCGGAGAAAGTTGTGGCTGTGATTCAGAGGGCCCAGGAAGAAGCGAGTCAAGCAAGTGATCTAGCGGAGAAGTACCGCACAGAAGTGGGAGAGGCAAACAAAAAAGTGAAGGAGGTTCTTGATTCATCGAACACCGTAGATACTTCGGCAACAAAAGTGGATGAGCTGGCCAAGAAAGATATAACGAAGACAGCAATAACTGAAGGTGAATGCAATAAACTCAAAGAATTGAAGCTTGATGAGTTTAAGACTGCTCCACTGGGAGTGAAAACAATGGAAGGGGTAAAAGTGCGCACTACTGAGGATATCCAGGAAACTGACAAACTTGAGGCCCTCATGAAGACAGCAATATTAAGTGCGGATAATGCAGTAAAGCTGGCAAAAACTGAGAAATCAGCAGCTGAAGCGGCGTTGCAGCAAGCCAGCAAGGAGCTGGAAGCCGCTAAAAAGAAACAGCAGGAGAGTGAGAAGCAGGGAGATACGAACGACGATCAGGAGAAACAAAAAAAGGGGATTCTGGAAAGCGAAGTAAGTGAAAGGGACGAACCAAAAGGACTCATCGGTTCCCAGCAACCTGATACCACGGATTCCACTGCGACTCCTCCTGCTGGTGCGTTGTTGCCTAAGACCGATGGCACTGCGGATGGCGAGAAGCTTCTTGCTCAGCACACAGATGGCAGCGACGTCCC